GGAGGAGAGCGAAGCCGCTGTCCACCTGTCAGTTTCAGGATGGCAGCGGCTCCTCCGATCACCGCTGTCTCAGCCCATACAAGCGGGGGAGACGGGCCCCCCCAGTGCCGCGGGCCCCATAGCGACCGCATCGGTGGCTATGGATGAAGAAACCCTATGACGGGTTAACAGGGGAGAGCAGCGCGAGGACGATGAATCACAAGAGTGGTGTGGACCAGGTTTGGAGCTGAGAACATCGACAACATCCAAACATCTAGACGCGGCATTTTGGATGGAGTTATTTTTTTTATTTTTTTTATGTTTTCTTATTTTTTCCCCCAAAGAAAGAACATTTCAAATGACAATTAAAAAAAAAACGAAAAAAAAAAAACCAACAAAAACACTATTTCATTTTCTCTCCTACAGATGGAGGTAGTGAGTACCTTCAAGAGAAGCGGTTCATTTCAGGGTGGCGTGCGTCGGCGTTCCTCCGTCCTCAGCCAACTCCACGATGTAACAAATATTTCTACTCCCACTCATGTCATTCTCTCTGCCGCCAATGCCACCAGCACTGCCGGGAGTGAGTGCGATTTCCTTTACCGCTCATCAGTAACATTCTGAAACCCACCCAAGTTATTTATTTTTATCTTTTTTGCAGTTTTGCATTATTCTGCTCACCGTGATTTATTTATGTTTTGTTGTTGTTGTTCTTTATTTATTGCTTTGTCCCGTCTTTGCTCAGTCGAGGTGGTTGGTGTATGATTTTTTCTAAAGCCATATTCTCCTTTTATTCTTCGATATTTGGTGTGCCTAGCGTGCCATGCTATCTGATGTGCCTAGCGTGCCATGCTATCTGATGTGCTTAGCGTGCCATGCTATCTGATGTGCTTAGCGTGCCATGCTATCTGATGTGCCTAGCGTGCCATGCTATCTGATGTGCCTAGCGTGCCATGCTATCTGATGCGCCTAGCGTGCCATGCTATCTGATGTGCTTAGCGTGCCATGCTATCTGATGTGCTTATCATGCTATCTGATGTGCGTAGCGTGTCATGCTATCTGATGTGCCTAGCGTGCCATGCTATCTGATGTGCCCAGCGTGTCATGCTATCTGATGTGCCTAGCGTGTCATGCTATGTGATGTGCCTAGCGTGCCATGCTATCTGATGTGCCCAGCGTGTCATGCTATCTGATGTGCCTAGCGTGTCATGCTATCTGATGTGCCTAGCGTGTCATGCTATCTGATGTGCCTAGCGTGCCATGCTATCTGATGTGCCTAGCGTGTCATGCTATCCGCCACAATAGCCGCTACTACTTCTTCTTCGAGAGCCTTTTCCATTTTAGTTTTTAAGTTTAAATCTGAAATATTAAACCTGTAGTACCAGAGAACACCCAGCGCTACATACAATGCAAGCCCATGCAACACGTATGTGGACCCAGTAACTAGAAATCACAGGGCCCCATAGCAAAATCTTGTGATTTCAAGATAAGTCCACCTGATAACCCAAACAGCCCACCTGAGGGTGACCCTGCAGAGCCCACCATAGACTCTCTATGGTGGGCTCTGCAGGGCCTCAGGTGGGCGGTCAAGCCCTCTTACCTGTGTGGCCGATCCTCTGTCTGCCCTCCTTCTCCTCCCCGATCGATTGCGGGCCCTCTCGATCGCTGGGCCCCCGCCTCCTCCATCGCTGCCGACGACTGGGCCCCGCCACCTCCCCGCAGCTGCTGGTTGTCATCGACTCAGCGGCTGTGAGGAGGTACGCGCCGCTGCACATGCGAATGGCGGCGTGTTTCTCCTCAGAGCCGCCAGTGACAGCCAGCAGCCTGAGATGCCATAGCGACCCAGGCGGCCCGCACCGCATCAGGGGGATGTCCTGGCCGGGGCCTCCCTGTGCCCCGGGGGGCCCAATAGCGGCCGCCTGGGTTGCTATGGTGATTGTTACGCCACTGTGTGGACCGTAGTATCGAAGATCATAATATAACGGCATGAGATGCTTTTTCTCCAGGTTGCGATGGAGGAAAAAACTGAAGTGACCGGATGGCATGTTGGTCTGTGGCTAATGGGATGTAAACATGTGTCCCTGATGTGATGTGTCATCAGATTACCCCCGATACGGTACAATCAGGTCCGTGGAAACGGAACTCTGATCCATTTGTTTTTCCAGATGTGGCCGGAGTTGGGGGTGACCGGGTGTAAACGGATGCCCGCCCCTTTATATCTGGCTGCCCATAGACTAACATTAGGCATCCGATCGGATCACACTGCCCATGTGAAAGGGGCCTTAGGGGGGTTTTTTTCTGTCTGACTCCTTGCTGGGGGAGATTTCGACCCACTTCAGAACAGGAAGTGACCGATATATTTTCCAACAGAGACATCTTAAAGTTAATTAAGGGCAACAGGCCCCTTTCACACCAGATCCCTTGCCCCATTCACACACATCAGGCCCCTTATGCACCACATACCTTGCAGAACTGAACACATTTTGGTTGGTTCAGACTTAAAGGAGAACTATGGAGGTCAGTGTTTTTCCCCCTAGTTCTCCTCAGGGTAACGGGAGGACACAATCTAGCGTCCTCCCGTCACCCTAAGCTCAGTATATAGGGAGCTACAGCTCGCGGTATACTTAGACGCCGCAGCCGGAGCGGATCCCGACATTACTGTCTGTATCCACCCAGCTGCGTGACTGACAGCTGGCTCCTCCTATCTAGAGGCAGAGCCAGCTGTACCCGCCCCCTCCCGTTCCGCCCGTCAGCGCTGGAGGATCGGAGCAGGGAGGGGGGGAATCCCTGCAGGGAGCCGTGAGTGACAGCTGCCCACTACAGGGACGGTGTGTGTTCCCTCACTGCCCGATCTATTGAGCCGACGTGTGACAGTCTCATTGTCACAGGTCGGCTCAGATTATTAAGATGAGTGAAAATCCCCCCCCCCCCCTCATAGTTCTCCTTTAAATGTTTAAAATTGACACGTTAATAAGATACACACACATACAAACACAGATACACGTTGGCTTTGTGTCACAACGAATCTCTTTATTATCTTGTACTGCAGGTTTAATATTTATTATTTACTCTGATATAAACTAAAGTGGGAATAATAATACAACTGCGACCAATTCAATCGATTTAATACAGAAACTCCTGGC